GTCGCTTCATAAGTAGGTCTTCACGCTTTAGTTTTCTCGCTTTTTGAACAGCGTCATTAATTATATGTGGGGGGTATTTTTGTTTCTCGAGCATAAGTTTTAGCCTCTGTGAGCTCGTGTCAAAGTCAGCGTCTCTAGAGCAGATTCGCTTAAACCGGTGAGCCTGGCTGTATGGAATACTGTTTTTAGAGTGCTGCGGATGGGCTTTATCCGAGTTTTATGGGTGTCGCTTTGATTGCCGAAACCCTCAAGAAAGCACTCGGTCGTGGAGATTTCGAAGCTACCACGGGGTTGTGGACTCAACCAGCAGCTCCCGTGAATGTACGTTCAACACAACAAGACGCCCACGAGAAGACTTCTGCATATCAACATACACCAGGAGCGCCACACCCACCCAACATCACAGATGAGTTCCCGACGATCAGCGAAACTGTGACTCCCGCGAGCCACAAGCACCCCCTCACCATCATCAACAGCGCACCACTACTAGGGGGGAAGTCTGCAGAACAGCCAACACGCGTCCCTCCATTGCGGATGTCGAAACCAAAAGCACTACACGACAGCACCACTACACCACTCCTCAAAGGGAAGCCAGCTGAACTACGAAACCGCGTCCCCCTATTGCGGACCCCGGAACTGCCAACGAACACGTTCGCCGGGAGCCCAACGCCGAAATCCTCCCCACAACTAGGTTGGGCACTTTTGGATGACAGCGAAGAAATTACAAAATCTGAAGTGTTTTTGCAGATTTTTAAAGCAGAACAGAGATTTCTGCCGAGGTCTTCATTTTGACCACTGGACACTGCCCTAATGTTGGAACGCAAGCAGTCTTTAAATTTTTTGTAATTGATCAATGTTTTCTCTGCCCTTTCAATAGATTTCACAGCACATGAGATTTCAAAGTATACAGGAATATGGTCACTGTTTGAAGAGAAATCAATTGTTTTCCAAGACTTTATTGAAACACTTGGGCTGCAAAACGTGAGATCTATTACCGATCGTGTCCGTCCGCGAATAAATGTAGGCTGTCTATCGTTTAGGCAGGTAAGGTTTTTATTATTCATCCAATCCCACAGAAGAGTACCAGAAGGGTCTGTTCGAAATCCCCCTGAAACATGATGTGAGTTCAAATCACCAGTCAGAAGGAAATCATTCTTGCAATTAGCTAAGGCAGTATCTAATTGTTGAGTATTATGCAAACCCGTTCTAATCCTCGCGCAGCTCGAGCTAGCATCAGCTGCGCGAGAGGCACGGCGCAGTGAGTAAGAAATGATGATGGTGATGATGGCACTACAGATAGATAGATAGATAGATAGATGATAGATAGATAGATAGATAGATAGATAGATAGATAGATAGATAGATAGATAGATAGATAGATAGATAGATACATACATACATACATACATGCATACATACATACATACATACATACAATACATACATACATACATACATACATACATACATACAGACATACATAGATAGATAGATAGATAGATAGATAGATAGATAGATTGATAGATAGATAGATAGATAGATAGATAGATAGATAGATAGATAGATAGATAGATAGATAGATAGATAGATAGATAGATAGATAGATAGATAGATAGATAGATAGATAGATAGATAGATAGATAGATGCGCTCGACAGACGTCAAGAAAACGTCAAGAAACTTGACAGACGTCAAGAAAAGTAGGCGCTAGCGGGAGGGTTCATAGCTGCGGTTGTGGGCGCAAGGGTTGAGGGGGCTCTCCTAATCTGTACAGCTGCATTGTTTTTTGCCGGTCTCGGAATCAGCTGACACTTGAAATTAGAGAAGCTGAGGTCATAGCAGATATGGGGGACGTGTGTGAGTACGCCATAAATGGCACTGACGGATAAAGAATTGTATCTTGGAGTGTGACCATGTATAAGACAGTATAACACATGCATAAGAGAGAAGACATGAAATAAACAAGTGGATCTTTAGTGCCTACCTTTCTTGACGTCTGTGTCATCCTGTCCATTTTTTTTAATCTTATATGCTACGCTAGTCCAAGCTAAGTTGTGAAATCTTGCCACGTGCATTGTCAAACGCTTTCCTCCAGACTCGTGTGACACACACCCATACACCACTGGCCACTGTATGTATGCGGGTGTGAGCCACAGGTGATCGGCAGTTTATATCTAACCAGGAACGGCGAGAACCGAAAATCGAAATATAAACACAAGAGCATTAAAAACCCACATGGGCATTGTCGAATCAACGAATGCAAAGAATAAAAATTAGCATCCCAGTAGGACTCGAAACCAAGCAATCTGCGTGGCAGTCAGCTATTCTACGAGGTCTTGAAATTGCTCTGGAATAGTACCCTGTACGCAGGCGTAATAGCGGTGCTGCATTAAATGTGTTTGCTGCGCTGGCTATTTTCACTCGCTCACTGGATTTCTCGCCGACCGGTTGAACCCCCCCCCCCCCCTTCCGTTCTCCGATGCCAGCGCAGCTCTGGCCAACTGGGCTCGCCCTACGCCATCTCCTGACGCCGACAAGAGCTCTCGCCGAGTGGTGCCCCGTCCTCGGAATCTTGCGACCGTGTCCTTCTTTCCTATCTGTTCCTTACCTCCGTCATTTACTGTCGTTCGCTGTCCCTGCGCCTCGCTCTCTCCTACATCTCTCTCTTTCTTTACCATTTAATCCTATCTTTTTACTCCCTCCTTTACCTCCACCCCTCGTTAGCTACTGTTGAAGTGTCCTCCCCATGAGAGACAGTTACAGGGCTCACTTTTATCTTATTTTAAAATCCCACACTCACACGCACTACCTAATTTCATATGAAAATAACAAGCATCACATGAGTTTTCCTTTGGTACAGGCGTCATGTAGCTTTAACGCTAATTGTGGTCTAAGTTCTGGTTGCGTTTTACGTCAGTCTGATAAGCATTATATTTGTATTCCTATGCTTCAGTCAGCTATATTCAAGCGTTGCTCGAGCCAGGACAAATACGCAAACGAAAGTTAGGTGTGATATTCGCATCAACGCACCATAAAGTGCATTTCAGTTTGATAACGCTCACGTCTGTGCTCTAACGCGACTCGTGAGTTACCCTTTAAACGCCAATGTAGCCGATGTTTGCGGTAAGCCCACAACGTGGACACAACTGCTACACTTATAAAAGTGCGTAGGTTCACCTCGTAACCACCCCGGTGAACCCCGGGAACAAAACGAGACCAAGTCCATGATACCAAATTCCACCTCTCCGTCATGAACAGGGCGGCTTTCTCAAACCACATTCCTTTTCAACCACCAGCTATTTGAGAAAGGCTTCAAGAGATGGTTATATCGAGCATCTTCTAAAAATTTTTCCGGGACCCTCTACAAAGGCGTCTCTCTAATCATAAGGTGGTTTGGGGACGATAAACCCCACATATCGACCAATATTGTAATTGTTTAATTATTATTATTGTTGCGGCTATATAGTATACTACGAGGCTGGGCACAAATATATTTGTTACGTACAAAAGGCAGTACAAAAGCGGGCCATGCAGCTTTAGTGCAACTTTGAGTCTGTCCGAACGTAAATGCCAAGAGGTGAAGTAATTATAATATCAAGGACAGATAAATATTGCGCGAAATGGGCCCCCTTCGACGAAATACCGCTAACACGCTTCCAAAACAATTAACGCACGAAAAAGAACTGACCTCATACGTGCGCCAAGAACAAAACGAAAAGCGCCATGCTTGTCCCCTCCCCTCCCTCTTTTGATTATACTTATCAATCATTAACTACGGAAGTGTTCAATGAGTATGCATGCCCATTATCACACCCTGTCTAGTATACACTGCATAGCCCATGCGAAACCATGCAATGCCCAAGGAGGTTGAAGATGTAACTTGAGAGAGGCGTGAGAGGTTGTTAACTTTCTGGCGTCATCTGCCGGCAGTTAGCGACAACAACAGCACAAATGCGCGGCTGACGCCGGTGGGACCCACCTCGGCACGCCGTTACATTTTGTTTTTGCGCCCCCGCGATCCTCCATAGATCCCCTTCAGTCCGTTCGCAAAGGGCGACCACGGAAAGACGGCGATGAATCCGGCCCGATACGAAACAATGCAATGAGCCCTTCAATCCCCTACAACCTCGGCGCATCCGTGCTGGACAACTTCCCGGTTCTGACGAGCACTGTCGGCGCCAACTAAGTACAGCGAATCATTGGGTTGAGCGCGGTGCAGTGCAGCCAGCCAGCGTAGCGCAAACGCTGGTAACGCGCGATGCCGTTGGGTGGGTCCTCGATCCTGACGGAATGTTGTTGTGGATCCGGGCGCACCACACAGGCGACGGTGCACAGTAGTGCACGGGCAGGGACTACGGGCGGGCGATGTTTTTATCGTAGCCGAGGATTTTCCCTCGAACTGTGTACTTCGGGGAGGGCAGGACACAAAGCGAAAATTCCGACAGCAGCACAGTGACCGAGTGAGCTCGCAAACAGCGTGGAAGCAGCGCGCGTGTCGCCACCTCGCGGAAGTGGCGGTACATACTGTCTGTATGCACAAAAAAGCCTCCGTGATGGCTGTGTGGCCCTCATCTCAAAGGCCATGCCGCGAACGACGCTAACCGTGTCGCTTCCGAGAAACCTTCGCTCGGGTCCGCAGGCGCTGATCACCGCGAAATTTGTATTTTTGTGAAGCGGGGTGAACTATTTCAACTTTTTAAAAGAAAGAGGGAAAGAAAAGCCAGGAGCTGAGTACTTTTCGTTCCAGAAGTCACCAGCGTCTGTGCGCGGAAGGACGTTCTCCATACCTGCGTCAGTCGAGGTATCAGCAGTTTCGGCGAAGAGCTTTTCGCAAGTTTTATTGCAAAATTAACATGGAATCGTCATCCCAAGCTGACCGCAATGAAAGCGTCGAGGCAGGCGAGGAGGTTGACAACAAAAAGGTAAGGTTCATGCGACCTTAAACAGTTACATGTATCCATTTCTGAGGTCTCACCAAAGTAACTCTCTTCATGCAGGCGTTGCAGGCAGAAATAAACGCGCTGCAACAAACGCCGTCCGTGTCAGCCGAAAACTACAACCCCGAACGTAAGCTACCGCGTAGTTAAATATTTACGAACGAGTGTTCTTATTATTTTGCCTTAATTTTGCAGCTGCAGAACCAGCAACACCCGAAAATATGCAGGCCAGCGGCTATGCGTTGGCGGGCGAACGTAAGTGACCCAACGTATGAACGCTGCTCTGGCATTCTAAGTAAGACAAATGAGGCTATTACGTGAGTGCATTGCACTACAGCATAATACTGCGCTCACACAATGATGCAATTTGCAAATTTTCATGAGCATGGCTCGGAAAAATTTGTGGAGCTCACTCAGCCTCGCTTATGAAAAAAACAAAAACAAAAAACGGGCGAATCCCACGTACCTTGGAAATTGATGTTAAAAGAATCATGCGTATGGAAGGTGACTGTGTTGTAATTTTTTTTTTTCATTCAGCGAAACGTCATGAAGTGGCGCTAAATATATGTACAAGTGTAGACAAAGGCATACGTAACGATGCCTACGGCAACATAGATAGCAACACCAGAACTTGGTAAGCTGATATGAAGCGCTGGTGCTCGTGAGGTTATAAAGTAAGCCGGACTCACTCAGGCTCACGAAAACTTAAAGAAACTGTCTAATCAGACGTTCCTCAAACTAATCTACAGCTTCCTCACTGGATTCTTCTTTTTTTTTGCAGAGTTTCACTGCTTCAAAGGTTATTTAATTAAACCCACCTAATCCGGTAATTAAGAAGCAAACAAAACCAGTTCAACGTATTCCATGCGAAAGTAGTCAACCTGTGTTTGGATGCGTCAATATGCCCCATAGCTTTTGTTTTTTCGGTCATTCACAGTGTCATTGCAATGTTACGCACACTTTTAAATTAATTGTTCACATTTGTTCGGCGTTCACAGGTGAAAATGTGCCTCCTAAATAACTGGAAAACTATGGCACAGTCGCGTTTGCATTCGAAAAACCTGATGAACGTAAGTTATCCCGAAAAATTGAAACGTTTTGAACGCATGATTTTATCTCTGATCAAGAAACGGGTGCCCATCAACTTCTGAGTGCATGCAGCAGTAAGAAACGCTCAGCTACAGTGCATTTATTTATTTTTTATTATTTATTTATTTATTCCAAAATGTGCTTTATAATAATTAGAACGCAACATGACAGTTCGACGTCATGAGCTTGAATTCACATTATTAGGCAGCTCTAGAACAGGGATCGTAGGCAAAGTTGCGCATTGGTTCCCATGTGTTCAACTTTCGCAGGTGAAAATGGATTTCAAGAAGAGCCGGAAAGTCACGGCGCAGTTGGATATTCGTTTGAGAGACAAGCTGAGCGTAAGTTACCTAAAAAGATAGAAATATTCTAACCCCGCGACTCTGACTCTGCTTAAAACACGGTTGCCCATCGACTTCCGAGTAACTGCAGCAGTAAAACACTTAGCAAAGGAATTTATGTATTTATTTTTATTCGAAATTGTGCTTTATCGTAATGAAAATTTTCAATGACAGCTTGCTATCTCCAACCTAAATTTCCATTAGTAGGCAGCCTATAGGGAACATGCAGACATTAAGTACCCAGCCCAAGCATTGTTTTCGAAACATTACACGTGTACACGCGAGGTTATCGTGTGATCGCGACCACCTGGGTTATCGGCGCCGTGGTCTGGTGCATGTGCGGTAGCAATAAAAGCCAACACAGCCCATGGCTTCACTGACCAGGCGACCACTGTGCAGTCGAGGGGGGCTACACGGATAGAGAATGCTCGCTTTAATGCACGTATTGTGTTATTCAGCAGTAGTCTCTTACAGAAAACACCTTGAGACCTTCCACGCATTCACGTCTAAGTGTCCCACCGTAATACTGTATCTCTCTTTTCTCTCTCTCTCTTTCCAGTGTTTCCTGAAGACGAGGACGAAGAACCTGCAGATTCTCCCGCTAATGATGGCTTTACACAGTTCACGAGTGAACGTAAGTCACCCTACAAATGGTGCCTGTATGTATGTGTCTGTTGCGTTCATAATTATAATATTATTAATAATATTAATATTATTTATTTATTTCTCATCAATTCAATGGAACTTGGTGGAAGGTGTGAGCGTAAAAGCAAAGAACGCTGCATACGCCTCACACCTTTTACATTGGGAAGCAGCCAGCAGGAAACATCACTATATTGCATCTGTGTTTACAAGAGAGCAACACAAAATAGAAATAAACTCAAAAAGGTAACCCCCGTATTCAGAAACGCTCCTTGACTTGACCTTTGCACCGCCTCAAAGCAGCGCGTTTGAAACGGGCTTGTGCTGCATTGAAGGGGGTGGCAAGTGAGGGATCGGTTCGGGTGTAAGTATGCGGACCTAAACATTTTCACTCTTTACTGAAAATGGGGCCGCCACGGCTGGGATTTATCCCGCGACCTGCGGGTCAACAGTTGAACACCATAACTACTAGATTGCGTGCTTGTGTGGATGCGATATTTCCAGGGGAGGGTTGGGGGGGGGGGTCAGTGTACAATAAGTCTGATACCTAGAGCTGAGCATGGGGCCTGAACACCTCGACTCAGCCCACTCATTAAAAATTACCAAGGAACATTTATACTGAGCGTGATCACAAACACAAAGTGAATAACTTGTATCTATATATCTGTTCCCACTCGCTCCATGTTGTTCATTGTTACTGTGTTAAATAAGTTGGACGATCGAAGGATCACGTGACAGTCGCAAACGCCTCCATTTTTCTACGCAGGCCTTGGTGCAAGAGCGCATCGTCTGGCCGAGAAGATTGCTGAAGACACGGGCAAGGTTTCCCGAAATTACGAAAACCTCGTTCTTCGAGTAGCAGCGCGTCGCGACAATCTCTTTCGACGCAACGAGCAGCAAAGGCAAAATATCGACACCCTCAAAAGCATACTCCTTGAGAATTTGAAGAAGTACTCGAAAGATGGCGAGTAGCTGAGTCGACACTGACTGCAGACAGCGAAGTATGTGTACATGTGAAGCAGGGATAACATATTTGAAGGACTCTCTCGGGGCTAAATTGCATCGATGACACATGTGCTCACTATTTCGCGTATTAGTTATATTTATTTATTTAGAAATACTGTCAACCCTCTCTTGAGGGTCATTACAGAAAAGGTACGACACACTGTACAAACAAATTAAGGATATAACTATTCACCTCCCAATGATAAACCAGGTATACATATATACAGATCCGTGAAAGCTCTGCATTCCTAACGAAAAACACACACCCTGATTCGCAAAGCAACGAATAACAATCGCAAGAATATTTACAATAAGTCACATAAATGTAAATCAAGTAAATGCACAAATTCATTAACATCACCCGCACTGACTATGTTACCCGGTATCCATGCCAATCTTCAATGACATCGGGCAAGAAAGTATGACGGTACGCCTTCGTTCATGCAAAAATAAGGTTGCAGCACTCGTATATGGTTTGCTCTCTCGCTTCGTTTTCCAGGTTGTTCTATGTAGTCAATTCTGTTAATTTTAAACTCACCTTCTAATGATTGAAAAAGAAACTTCAATCTATTTTTGCGTCTGCGCTTGTGGAGCGTCTCCAGATCACATAGTTGTAGCATTTATGTGGCTGAGTTGTTCTGCTTATATCTCGAGCATATAAAGCGAGCTGCAAGCCGTTGTGTGCGTTCAAGTTTATTTACAAGCACTTTTTGGTGGGGACTCCAGACAATACTGGCATATCCCAGTATCGGCCGTTTGAAAGTTTTAAAGGCAAGAAGCTTTACGTCCATACTAGCACCCTGCAGTTTTTTCTTAATTTTTACAATTTTACTTCCAATATACTTCCTTACAATATACATCTTTTACAATATACAATATTCTTCCTTTTGTGATAAGGGTATCACATGACAAATTTCTAGCAAGTTAGCACGCTAGCTTTGTATTTGTTTTGTTATTTGTATTTGTTGTTTGTATTTATGTTGTTATGTTTGTGTTGCATTTATGTTTAATAATTTGTTATTAATAAAGAAGTCATATTTTGGTGTTCCACATCAACCAACACAATCCAGTTTGGTATGTATGTACATATGAATTTAATAAACATCTTAAGCAACTGTTTCTAAGGTACGTATGCATTGTGAAATGTTTGATGTAGTTTTCGCGAATTTCGAGTTATGAACTCATTCAATACCAGAAATGTATGTAGCGCAAATATTAATATGTATACGAGAAACACGATAGACGAGCGCTACTACCATTGGCGTAGCCAGGTGGGGGAGAAAGTGGGTGTTAATTGACAATTGTGGTGTGCATGAGAATAACATCATCTAAATCGCTCGCGATCTCTCCCAAATTATCTCTTCTTTATCAGTCGTACGTCAGAATAGGCGCTGGTCTGACGCATCGGCACACCGTTGCATGTTTTTTTTTTTTTCAGTGCGGTCCTTTCTCAATCCGAAGGCTGGCTGGCTTAGCTGGATAAGAGAGGGGGTCGGGAGTACAACCTTTTTACGCATACATACGCACTCACGAACATAGAACATACATGACACATATCCCCGCCCGCTGTAAATAAGCTCTATAGTTACGCCCCTCCTGTTCATCTGTGGTAGACATCTTCTGAACATTGCCTAACGCAAGGCTGCAGCAACACGAATTGTCTGCGGCGCGTGCATGGGCAGTTCTCTTATGGTAATTCACTGGTTTCCCAGTCGAAATTGGTTAGCGGAAACAGGCGCGCCTATCACCCACACAGCATACGCGCGGGTATGAATATTTCAGCGGATCCAGTGGGCTGTTTGCGACGCACGTGAGAATAATATGTGCATGCGCAAGTGTGATCCGTTGTTTCCTTTGTATGAATTTCCAGAACAAATATATACGTGCACATGCAAATGAACTTTTGTTCAATAAAGTCAGCGTTACGGTTGCTCATTAAATTGCTCCTTTCTTCGGTCACGTTGTTGTCCACAGCGGTGATGTAGCTCTTACCCTAAAATTGCAGGCTCGAGCGTGGTCGGGGTGGTCGCGTTGTAATGAGGGCGATGCGCTAGTGGCCACCATGGTGTACCTAACAAACATATTGTGGTTTTAGGACGTTGAACCCTAGCTAGTATTTATTTTTCATAGTCCGATTTGTTATCCGTGACGTCCACTTCACTCAGTACTATATTGTAACAACAAATCCAAGTGGAAACACTGCTCATAACCACGAGGAACAGAAACCACAGTAACGAAAGCGAAAATTCACGACGATAGCGGATTGGACGGGTTTGTGCCGTGGAAGAATGGTTCGTCCGGTGTTCTCTTGTTCCAGTGTAACTTCGGTTCAACGAACTGAAAAACAAGTCTTCTGCTTGCCTCCTCTTTACTTGATTGGTTCATGCAGGTTTAGTTTGAGCAAAAAGTCGTTTTGAGCCCCAAAGTATTATGGTTGAGCTTTGTAAACATGGCAACAAAAAGCGTTGCCAAGCGCTGCTGCCCACCCCCCGCTCTAAATAACATATTTCACCGTTTCAATTGAGACGCGCACGCATCAAATGCGCATGTCGCGCTGCTAGCGCCACCCCATAGACATTCTGCGTACCTACTGATTTCTCGGTATTGCTCCCGTGATTGCCGCGCACTGAAAAACTTGGAGGCAATGTGCTCAGCGCTGCCGGCATCGCAGACCGCGAAAATATAAGTTTTATAAAAAGAGATTTGTTCGGGCTAGGCTAAACGGGAATGAAACAAGCGATCAATTTACCTGTTTCTGATAGAAGTAAGCTGCCGTCTGCTTGCAAAAGGTGTAAGCTGTTTGCAGAAGCCGTGCTCACTCTGGGATATCTTCAAGTTCTCAGAATCTTGTTGCACCAAATGGATTTTTCTGGCGAACGCACTGAAGGGCAAAACAGCACGGTAATGTGACCTTATTTGTTTACAATAACGCAGTTGTATGTGGTTACTCATGATGGTTGTTAACTGTCTCCATGCAGACCCTGCTGCTTCAACTGGAGCAAACGCCGCCGGCATCACCTGAAGACTACGGGAGCGAAGGTTTCTATCCGCGTACGTCACCGCGTGTTAATACGGCACACGTCGCATGCGAATACATTTAAAATATAATGCCGCCGAACACACGTTTTGACGTTTACAGGCGAAGATGCGCGCCCGGGAGAAGCTGGAAGCTTCGGCACCTGTTAATTGTTGTTGGAGAGACCGGATGAAGGTATGCCATACAACAATATATGAATGACACTTCTACCTATGAGAGTACAATAGAGTGTAACATTACATGCTGCTAACACACTCATCCGTAATAATATATGTTGCGTGTTAAGAAAGCATCAGGCAAAT